ATCAGAGGGCTGGGGGCTGCACGCCCATCCCCCAACGAGGGGCCCCGGCTGGGCGCCTCAGAGCCAGGGGCACAGGAAGTCCCAGGAACAGCGTGCGTGGTTTAGCACCCAGAGTATAGGCGTCATCCAAACCCAGAGAGGAGTGGATATAACACAGGCATCACTGCACCGTCCACAGGGCAGCCGCTTACCAGCCACTGGAAATGCGCCTGGTGCGACTGAGAAATTGAATTTATTTTGGTTTAGTTTAATTAATTCCCACTGAAAAACTGAAGCAGTGTAAACTTTTTTTTCCATTAAACACAACTTGTGTTGTGTTTCATTTCATTTTAGCCGGTGACACTTCAGCCTCTGAAATGAGATGCGCTACAAATGGAAAAGAGACCAAATTTCAAAGGCTTCGTGTGAAGAACGTAAAATAGCTCACTTAGTCGGTATTACAATGCTAACATCTATTATGTTTATTGTAATGATGATATGTTAGTATGATGAGGTAAGTAAAATGCATTATTAAAATTAATTACACTTGTCTCCTTTTACTTTTTAAAATGTGGCTACTAGAAAATTTTATTTCATTTTTTATTTTTTTAAAATTTAGCTTGGTCTTTTTTTAAAGATTTTATTTATTTATTTTTTTAGAGAGGGAAGGGAGGGAGAACGAGAGAGAGAGAAACTCTCACATCAATGTGCAGTTGCTGGGGGTCATGGCCTGGAACCCAGGCATGTGCCCTGACTGGGAATTGAACCTGAAACACTTTGGTTTGCAGCCTGCACTCAATCCACTGAGCTACGCCAGCCAGGGCTAGAAAATTTTAAATTAGGCATGTGGCTCACATCATATTTGTGCTGGAAAGCTCTCGGAGCCTCTAGCCACATATGGTTATTAAAATGTAACTTATTTAAAATTAAATGAAATTAAAATTCCGTTCCTCGGTAGCACTGGGCACACGTGGCTACGTACTTGTGGCCGGTGGGCCCTGAACCGGACAGCCCGAATACAGAACGTCTTCGCCACCGCGGAGCGTGCCGCAGAACAGCACCTCCCCAGTGTGAGGCGGGAAGCAACGTGCACACGCTTTTAAGGCAAAACATAAAACTTCAAAAAAAGTTACACCCGTGGGCGGATCCCTCCAGGCCCGCCAGGGACAAGCGCTCACATGGAGAAAGTCCTCACTCGGTATCCACCACTCTGTGCTCCCTCCCGGGTCCTGCCGCCTCCCCGGGACATTATTTACTAAATGATCTTCCATGAAATCAACTGTGATTTGACTCTCTTTTTAACCTGATGTCATTCATCCTCAGCAATAATTCCCGTGAAACTTGCATTACAGAGCGGATGTGCTAAATATTTTTCTACTTCACATGAAAAACCTCACTTTTGAAACTGAAACAAAAAGCATCAATCCTAAATTGCCTCACATCCCCTTTCTTCCCCATCCAAAAACGAACAGCTCCATGTCCCCTCCAGAGGCCAAATTCTACGGCTCCTACCGCATCAACAACTCTGGAATCCAGGCCCACCAATCTCAGTCTGGACGTGATAGAAGTCGTGGTACCTGGCCCCTGGGTGGGTCATTGGAGGCGACTCTAAGGCCATGGGTGTGAAGGAAGGAGCACGGGGAAAGGGCCCAGCAGGCCCGGCGTGGAGGGGAGGAGCTCCCTCCCGGTAGGACACGCTGAGCTGGCTGAAAGGTGGGTCTGGGGTGGAGAGTCCAAGAGGTCACCCAGTGACAGGGAAGATCAGGGACAGAGCCTAGATGTAAGGGGTGGAGAAGGAAAGGAAAGGGGAAAGAAAAGGGGAAGGAAAAGGAAAAGGAAAGGGGCAGTCAGAAGTCCTGGGAATCTTAGTGCAATAGGACCCGAAAGGAAGGTCTCTGGGCAGGAGGCCCCTGGAGGTGGTCAGGGCCCTGGGAGAGCAGCAGGGGAGCCGGGGCAGGCACTCAGCCGCCCAGCCCTGATGGTGCCGCTGCGCTGCCGGGGCTGTCGGCTGCCTGGCTTGGGCTTTGTATACGATTTGCAATTTGCACGCTGCTCACTTGATGGCAGACAGCTGGGTGGAGTACAGACCCCCTGGCACTGCTAGGAGCTGAAGCCGCCCCTCCTTTGTTGGGTAATGCTCCAGGCCTCAGTTTCCCCATCATGAATGATGACTCCAGCTCCATACATCTACGGAGTCTTGTGAAGATACACTTCAGCCCGCTCCAGGGTTCTGACTCTCTTGGAGGAAGAGGCGGGGCAGCCAAAGTTGGTGTTCTGGGATGTTAAATGGCCCGCCAGACGGAACAAAAAGTTCCATGCTCAAATCTACTTAGGAAACGCTGGGTTAAATAAGTTACCAGTGTTAAATAAGTTACACTGGTTTCTTCAGGCGAGGAAGAGTGCACGCAGCCTTTCCCAGACTGTTCCTTGCTTGCTTCCTGGGACCACCTGGGACATGCCTTGAACTAGTGATTCGCGGGAGGCTGGGGAGATGTCAGTGAAAGGAAAGGGCCCCTGCCGGGCAGCCAAGCGGAGCGGCTCCAGCCCCGCCTGCGCCAGACTCCCCGTGGGAGCTCGGCCAGTCTCCTGCCCGCCGGACTCAGTCTCCTCATCTGTGAAATGTGAGTGTCTCCCCTGTGATGAAGCTCAAACAAGCAAAAGCAGGGAACTGGTGAGCTTTCCTCACCCCCCCCCCCCCATTTCGCCACCCCAGGCTTGTACCGGCCACTGCCTCTCAGGAAGCGGGAGGAGGATGAGGGAGAGAGCGCTGAATGCTGAGCGGGAGAAAGCAGAGGCCACAGCCTGGGAGGGGGAGGGGGAGGAGGGGGAGAGCAGAGAGTGTGGGGGAGGGGAAGATGGAGGGCGCGAGCGGGAGGAGGAGGGCCAGGGGGAGGAAGGGTGGGGGAAACCCGGGACTCCCGGGAGGGGAGGAGGAGGCCGAGGAAAGTGGCTGGGGAGTTTAGAGAAGTCCTGCAGCTCTCAGATGAGGGGGGAGGGCAGGGGGTCTTGGGGCTGGAGTTCTTGTGGGCGAGGGGCCGTGAGGGCTGGGGGTGAGGCCAACGGAGGGACCGGGGCAGCGGAGGCCTGGACGCAGACCTCGTAGGCGAGCTCCTGCTGTCTCCCGCCTGCAGGGAAGTCTTCGGACCAACCTGCTGGCGTCCACCTGCGCGTCTCCCGAAGGGCCTTCTGGCCGGCTTGGGGGCAGTGCCGTCCCTCAGGACCCCTCGGGGCGGCCCCAAGTCCTGCCCCGCCGGTCCGCGGAGGCGGCGGCCTCCCGGGCGCCCTCACCTCCACCAGCGGGTAGGCGATCTCGTTGTAGATCTGCTCGGTGAAGTGGTCCATGTAGTAGGCGCCGTCGAAGGTGAACTGCTTGGGGGGCTCGCCGGCGGCGCCGGGGTTCTGGATGAAGCACTGGCCGCGCGCGGAGTCCACCGTCACCACAGACTGGCAGTTCAGCTCCCGCTCCCGCTGGTTCATGGGGCGGCAGCGCACCACCACCTTCACCGACTCCGAGGCCATAGCGCGCCGAAGGGGTCCCCGGGCGCGCGGCCCGACGTGGACGCCGCGGCCGGGACACACGGCCTCCAGGCAGGGGACCCCTGGCCGCCGCGACCGGGGGACGCAGCGAGAGCCAGGCGCGGGGGGTGGGGCTTCGCGGCCTGGGCGGGGCCGCGGCGCGGGGCTGGGTGGGGGGAGGGGAAACGGGTCTCCGGGGGGCGCTCCGAGAGGAGGAAGGGGGCGGCTGGAGAGTCGAAGGACCGGGGCCGGGTCGCCGCCTCCTCCCGCGCCCGGGCTCGCCCTTCCCTGAGGCCTGGCCCGGGCGGGGGAAGTGGGGGATCCGCGCTGCAGGCGACGTCGCAGGACCCGAGCCCCCAGCCGCCCTCCCGCACCGTGGCGTTCGCGGTTGCTGAGCAACGCCGTGTCGTCACAGGTGGCGGCGCCAGTTCTCCGCGCCCGGCAGTAGCCAGCGCGCGTGGGCTGCCTTCATGCAGGACCCCAATGGCTTTGCTGGAGCGTCGACCTGCTCGGTGCCAGGTGCTTCACACCCGTTGTCGTGTCGGATGCACATAGCTCCAGATCAGAGACTGGGAGGCCAGGCCTGACTCCACCTCTGAGGCAGATAGGAGGAGAGACCTCTCTCCGGGGTTAGATGCCTACCGCGAAAGGCAACCAGGGCCTCGCTTTTGTTCGCATCCCTGTGTTGACACAGGGGAACACATCACCGGTCCTGGGACGGACTAAAGGTTCCTTCTAACGCTGCCCCTCGTTTTTGCTAAGACACAAGATGAAGAAACAAAAACAACTTTGAGAGCCAAAGTCTTTTTAGTTCAGAGACTGCCTGGCTTCTCTCTGCTGGCTCCACACAAGTTCCTCCAGCCAGAACAGCCTCTTCTAGGCTCTGCTTTGTACAGAAACACCGTCAGCTGCCTGCCAGGCATTGGGGTCGGCGCTGGGAGACAGCCCAGTCCCTGCTCTCCTGGAGCCCACAGGCCAATCCAGCAGAGGCGGCTGACATCAAAGGCAAATCTCCAACATGCAAAACCCTTCACTGCAGCAGTCATTACAAACAAGACGACCAGGTCCATGGAACATCCAACAAGGGAACCTTACTGCCCCTCCACCACGGTGGGGGGGGAGGGGGCAGGTTTCCTGAGAGTGACAGAAGCTGAGATGCTAAGGTGAGGTAGTTAAACCGGGCAAAAGGTGGGGAGAACAAGGAGTCCTGTCCAGACTGTGCAAAGGTCCTGTGGCGTGTTTGCAAGAGCAGAAGGGAAGCCCAAGGTGCCAGAGAGGACTGGAGTCTTTTTCTCATGGGAAGTAACCGCTGGAGGTTTCCAGCAGGAGAGGGGATTTGAATATACCGATTCCTTTGGGTCACTTGAACCTCTGAAGACAGGACCCATCTGGTTTGCCACCCAGCACTCTCTAGAGGCATGTTGGCATACAAAAACAAAACAGGAAAACTGGACGAAGACCTCACCTTTCAAAGAAAAAGTCTGTACTAGACAATCGGAAGAAATGCACTTTATTTCAAGTACGTACAGTGAGAACTGGGCTGCCCAGGTGGTGCTGGTTGGAAGAGAATGATCTGGAATGGATACTGGAGCATCTACACACATGGGTGGAAAAACCTTGCCCTGTCTGCGCCACGTGACAATAAATGCTGTGTGGAGAACGGTAGAGTGCTCTGGGAACACCCGACACCCAGGTAACCTGCACAATGAAATGCACCCAGCAGGGAGGCGAACTTTGGCCTAAGCCTGGGCCAGGTACCCGGTCTCCTTAAATGCGTGGCTGCAGTGCTGTAGGGCCCCAAACCCCTCTCCTTGCCAGGGAAATGGAGGGACCAGGCCTTGGCCCACGGAGATGGCTTCTGATAGAAATGGCTGCAAGGGAGTTGTGGGTTCCCATTCACATTCAGTACAGAACCAATGACACAGTTCCAGTGAAACAAGCCCCCAAAGGACAGCGCCCTTCCATCCCTTTTGGCAGGAATGACGAAGCCCCCAGCCAAGACCATTTCCTGGGTGTGGACCCGAAGCTGGGGATTCCAAGGATCTTTCCTTTCTCTTTTCTTGGGGCCGCCATCTTCCTCCCCGAGGTCAGAAGTCTTATTTTCAAGGCACTGAACAGTCGCATCTGCTCCCAGAAGGGGGAGGGGGCAGCCCCCAGACTCAGGACCAGGCCTCTGCCTGAGAATCAGTTCACCCCAAGTGACCTTGCTCCCTCACTTGGTAGATGTGTCTTGTCAGGTTGACTTGTAAAGGGGGGGGGGGGGGTACCTGGACCTGCCCAGGCAGCACAGGCCCAGTGCCTTAGACTAGTCATTGCCGGGGACCCCCCTGTCCAGAGGCTGAGCCCCGTCCGGCAGGGCCCACGTGATTTCTAACTCCGGATGACTGCTCCCCAGTGGAGCCGCCTAAGGAGATGAGATGGCTCCGGGCAGGCCTGGCCAGCACCACGCTAAGGGCAATGCCAATGGCCACCCCTCTAAGTCCGTGGTCTGCAAGCCCCTCCCAGTCAAATGACGAAGGGAAACGCAATGTGTGCGTGTGTCTTGGAGGCTCTCGGGCACGTGGGGGAGCGGAGGAGGGTGGGCAACCTTTCCCAGTAAGCGGGAATCACAACCCTGTGGTTCTGGGGAGAGAGAAACCAGCCTTCCCAAACAACACGCTGAGATTCCTTGGTTCACGCCCCTTTCTGCATACAGGCATCCACCCCATGAGTGGGCTTTGGGTGGCACTGCTCTTTGTCTGTCCTGCCCCTTCGAACCCCCATTCCTCACAACTCAAGGGAAGACTCCCTTAACCTTCGATGGCCTGTGACACAGGCGGGATGATGTGGCCACAGGCTTCGGTCACATCTGTGTCCCTCACTGGGGTGGCTCGCCCCCAGGCCTTTGCCCGAAGTGAGAACTTCCTCCCCAGACACCCCTCCCTCAGTCACGAGCTCTCTGGAGATGCCCAGGCAGGCAGGGCCCGGCCTCCTGGGAGGGGCTACACCTCCACTGTGAGTAAGCCTTCCCGCCCCCTCCCCCCAGAAGGCTCCGGTGAAGCCCACAGAGGACAAGCATCCAGAGTCACCCGCAAGTTCACGGATGCCTGCCCTTCCTGTAATCTCAAGGGGCCATATGTCGCATGAGAACCCAATCTGGGGGGGGGGTTGCACCCCCACACAACCAGTGAAGAGACAGAAGACAGGCCCCAGGGGCAGAGTGACTGGCCAGAACTGGTGACCAGCGGGGTGGAAGAAGGGCAGAGTGGCTGGCTGGGGCCCAGGGGCCAGGGCGACGCAGGGCCTGCTGGTGTGGGGGCTGGCCCCCTAGCCCAGGCCCTGCAGTTCTGCCTCCGACTTGGCGTGGCTAAGGGGCCGGAGTGTCCGGGGAGGCCTGCCCTCGGGCCTACGGTCGTGCTCCTCGTAGCCGGGGTTCAGGCGGCCCATGTCCAGGGAGCAGAAGAGGCTGCGCTCAGTCCCAGCGTGATGCTCTACCAGGGCCTCCAGGCTGGGGAACTCGGCAGGCAGGTGCTGGGGGAGGAAGGGGATCAGTCCAGCATTCCCTTCCCCATGCGTGGTGCTAGGTACCAGCCACCCCCTCGAGTGGGATCCTGTCCCACTTAAGGAGAAGGAAATTTGAGCTCCGGGAGGTCACTGTCCTCCTCAGAGCAGAGCCGGACACCACTTGCTCTCTTCCCCCCCCAGCTTGGACAGGACTGAGGCACTTGGTGTGGAGGTGAGGGAGCACATTTAAAAGCCCCCCGCTCATCCCAGTCCCTGGGAACCTGTGATCAGCCTAGACTCCAGACGTGGAGACACAGAGGCTGGAAGAGCTTAAATCAGCCCCTACCCCTGGAGTCAGCTTCCTCCTCTGCTAAGACATGCCTGAGGGTGTGGGAAGGCAAGCTTTTAAAAGCCGGGGTCCCTACAGAAGTGGGAGGCATGATGCTAGCCCCAGACCCTGCTAGCGGTACCCTCCGAAAGCCCCTGGAGAGAGAGGGGCCCTAGGGCGGGACCCATAGGTAGAAGTGGGGTTGGGTAGGGGGGTGGACAATGACGAAAGGGTTTAATGGAGTAAAAGGTGGGAAGAGGCAATAGGGGGCTGGACTGAGGGTGAGGCGGGCTCAGCAGTCACAACGGGCGGGGCCTGAGTAAGGGGCGGGGCCGATTGTCGGTGCCCTCTACCTCCACGCCATAGCGGCCCAGCTGGTTCCGGTAGACTTGGTAGGGCACGATGCCGCACAGCGTCCGCACCGACAGGCACCACTGGCCACTGGCGCCCGGCTCAGGCCACAGCAGGAAGGCCCCAAGCACGTCTCTCCGCAGCAGGGCGAGGGCGCTGGGCCTGGCGGGGCAGAGGGAGAGGCTGAAGGCGGGAGTCCGCACCCAGCTTCAGGTTGCTCCCAGGGCGATGGCACGCCAGCCCGCAGCATCGTGACCACAGTGCCTGTCCCCGTGGAGGGCCCCACAAGGGCAGGAAGCTGTTAGACGTCCTTTCTGAACAGTTTCTGGCAACCTCAAGACCCAATGAGGAGAGTTTTAGACACCTGACATTCAGGGAGCTGTTTGCCCGGCGCTGAGGTCTTTACTCATCTGAGTTACCGCACTCGATCTTCTCTGCAGCCCTGCCAGGGTGGGCCTCTGATTATTCCCACCTCACAGCTGAGAAAACTGCCCCCCAAGGGCGGGGGCAGCGGCAGCAGAGCCCACTTCTCTGCTCACACCGTGGGAATGGGCACTCAGCCAGGCCCGACCCCTCCTACCTGGAGACGCCAGCGAAGGCCCAGATGTTCTCCGTCAGGCTGCCCTCGCTCTCCACCAAGCACGAGGAGCCACCGGGACCCCGGGGCCACTTCTCCCACGCAGCAGGAACTACGGAGACCACCCACGGGTCAGAGGCTGTCTCACCCTAACCAACCCGCCCCACCCCACCCCACCCCACAGGCCCCCTGACCTCACGCTTGTCTCCTCACCAAGCCTGCCCCTCCCCACCGACAGGCACACACCCTCCGAAGGACACACCCACACAAGCACCCCCCGACTCACAGCCACTCACCAGTCACAGCGCATCCAAGGCTACACTGCCACCTGTGCAAGCCCCGGGCCCGCAGACCTGGGCGCACACTCACTCACGTGGACATAGAACACGTCCCCCTATGGCACAGGCATCTGCTCGGAGGTGCAGTCGCAGCCTTGTAGGAACAGGCACCCGGGTCCAGCCCCCAACTCCCACAGGGGCAAACAGGCCCGTGCCCCAGGGACGCACGGGGCGGCTGTGTGTTCGCTACTCACAGGCCTCGCGGGCCGACAGCTGCAGCTGGGTCTCGTAGGTGCAGCCGCGGTAGGCCCCGGAGCGGATCACCTTGCTGCGGATGGCCTTCTTGCGCACCAGAGTGGGCGAGCAGTAGGGATTCCCGAGGCGGACGTGGCGGGCACCCCCACGGCCTTCCAACCATGGCAGCTCCTTCTAGGGCACCAAGAGGGGCCCAGAGGGGCAGGCAGATGAGGCCCAGCCATGTGAGGTCAGGTGAAAGCCCCTTCCTCCCCACACATAACCCCCAAACCCTCACCCAGTTCCCTGTGCACTGCCCTGGCTGGGGTTGGGGTGCTGCGTACCCCAATGCCCGTGGGCCCCTCTGCTGGCAGCCGCCGGAAGGAGACCAGTGCATAAACGTTCTCTGAGAGCTGATCTCGGCCAAAGGGCTCCTGTACTAGGCCAGGGCGGGCCCCGGGGCTGGACAGGGACTTCGGGGGCATGTCCCCTGCGGGCCCCAGACAGGGCTCAGGCTGTGCCCGCTCGTCAGGGTGCTGCAAGAGGTAAGCGAGCTGGAAGGAGCGGCAGAGCAGCAGGTGCAGGATCTGGACCTAGGAAGAGAAGCGGAGGGGCTCAGCTAAGGGAGGTCTCCTGGGCAACTCCTTAGGCACCAACCCACTCCCCACAGGGGCATGGCCTGGGATGCTCTTCCCCGTCAGAGGAAAACTCCTCCTTACCCCTCAGAAGCTCACCACCATGCAGCCTTCCCTGCCTGAGCCTCTACTCTGTCCCAGGCGTCCTGCTCGGAGCTGGGAATACCTGGGCTAAACGCGCTCCTCCCCCTGGGTTCCCGCCCCATCCTGTGCATTTATTGTTCAGGGCGTCTTAGGGAAGTGGCTAAGAACCCAGGCCCTCTTGGTATCCACAGAGTGGAGTCACAGAACCTGGGATCCAGTTCCTGGCTCTGTCACTTAGGAGCTGTGTGTGACCCTGGGCAGACCATGGCTCCTCTGTCCTTGGTTTCCTCACCCCCACGCCCCCTTTGCTCCTTTAATGAAGTGGAGCCCAAAAACTCCCTGGCACAGGCCCAGCCCGTTACCACCACCTACACCATTCCAACACACTGGAGCCATGAGCTCCAGAAGATCAAAGGCCGTGTCTCGCCACCTGTCACTCCAGTAGCCAGCACGGGGCTTGACAGACACAGGTGATGGCTAACGCTTGCTATGGGACGGTCCCAGACCCGCCTCTGCTCGCTAAGCAATCGGCTGCCAGGGCTCCGTTGTTCAAGGCAGTCCCGCTGGCTTTGACTTCCAGGATCTGCCTGCCTGACCCCTCGCTCTACAGGGCCAACAACTGGAACCTGGACCCAGTCTGTACTGTCAAAGAACTGCGGTGCCTGTAACTAGGGACAGACCCAGTGATGACAGAATGTGGTTCACGCCACAGGACCCCAGGAGGGAGGGGCGGTCTGGAGGAGTCAAAGTGGGCCACACAGACACGTGGGCTGAGCCCTAGAGGGCACGCTGGGATCCGCCAGGAGGTGAATGAGAAGGTGAAGGGCATTCCAGGTAGGGAGAGCGGGAGCAAAGGTGCGGCAGGGAGAGCCTCCAATCTCCAAGTGCGTGGCCTAGTCCTCACGGCACACCGAAGGCACTGACTCGCTTTGGTGAGTCCTCAGGGGGCAGAGCGAGCCTGTGTGGCGAAGGGTGCACATCCGGAGGGGCCCCGGCCAGCGTGGCCAAGCCCCCTGAGGCCTCTCAGCCTCTGGGCCCCACGCTGATGCACAGCGGCCCTGCACCCCAGCCCCAGTGCCGGGCCCCTCCCTGGGCCCCAGGTACCTCTCCAGGCTGGCTGCCCACAAAGAGGTGACAGAAGAGCTTGCTGGCTGGGCTCTGGGGGTTCCGGGCCACAAAGGCGAACTGGCAGTCGGCTGGGCACCAGGTGGAGTAGAATATTCGCCGCAGGGCGTGCGCCATCAGGAGCACCTGGGGGGGGCACAGCAGCCCCCGTGAGACCCCCCCACCAGGCCTGCAGCTGCCAGCCTAGTGTGCGCCAGGCCTGTGGACCCCACACACCTGCTGGCGGGCCCCCCTCGACTGCTCTTCAGCCTGCGCGCCCAGTGTAGGGCCCGCCCAGCTTCTGGGGTGAAGAACGCTTCCCTCCTTCCAGTCCAGCCCAAACCCTGCTTCACACGGAAACCCTCACCCCGCCACCCCGCCCCCACAGCCACCAGCTTTGGTCTCCTGATCCCTGCTGCCACCCTGTGGGTTGAGATCACCAGGCCCACGTTATGGAACCCAGAGGCACTTGTGGCCCGTGGGGTCACAGACAAGAGGCGGCAGCAGGCCCTGGGGTGGCACTCCTGGTCTCTGGAGTCGGATGGCCGGGGTTTGAATCCGGCCTCTGCCACCTGGTTTCTGTTCTTTATGTCTTGGGCAGGTGATGATAGCTCTCTGAGTCCTTGTTGTGACAAGCGTTAGGTGTGACAGTACCCTGTGATATGGCTGTTGGTGGGGTCAGTGAGACCTTGGGCAAGTGGCACGGGACCTGACCCCGGGGCCCCCTCAATGCACAGCTCTGGGACACCGCTTGCACCAGTTCTAGGTAAGTGGCGCCCAGAGCTGTCTGGTATGTGCTGCCTGGCGTGCAGCTGGTGCTCAGCAAACGATGGCTCGTGCCAGGAGGATGGGCCATGAGGCAGGGCCCCCCTTCCACAGCCACGGGAGGCTGGCCGCAGCCCACCGGCCCATGCTGGGCAGGCCCACGTAGAGGCCCGGGGACCGCCAAAGCGTCATGGGGCCGGGTGGTCCCGGTGCTCAGCCAGGAGCTAGTGCCTCGAGGAGATTTCGAGGGGCCAAGATGGGCGAGGAACTTGCCTACTGCGTCTGCCCTGAGGGAGGCTCTTTGGAGAGACGGCTCCCAACACCCTGGGCAGGCTGGCAAGCCGGGAGGCTCCAGGGGTGGTGCAGGGCCTGGGCGGAGGCAAGGGCGTCCCAAGGGGGACAGGTGAGGGCCTGACCCTCACCTGCACCCACACGGGCTCCTACCTCGCTCTCCCCGCTGTAGATCTTGAGGCCCTGGAGGCTGAATTTTAGGACAACAGCCCGACGTCGGGGACAGTCCTGGGTGAGAAAGAGTTGGTGGGGGGCAGCCATTACCCACAAGGCCCTGCCCCGCCCAGCCTCGGTACCAGTCACTAGGGGCTGGGCAGCCAAGTGCCTCCCCACCTGGCAGGGACCTGAGCCCGGGACAGTGGACCCCCAGGAGCCTGGGAAGTATGAAGGACTCCTAACAGACCACCCCCAGCCAAGGCCATCCCCCCCATGTCCCACCTGTGCCTTCACCTGTAGGGCACGGGTCTCATCTCCCTAAGGGAAGAGAGTCCCTGGGCATAAGGGATGCGGCTCCAGGAGCCTGGGTGGGGTCCTAGCGGGGCCCACTGCTCAGAATGGCTTTGCTCCGGCCCCGCCCTGGGCCTCGCTTGCTCCATCTCCGTGACTGGAGGGTGGGCGGATCAGGTGGTCTCAGGGATCAGGGCGGGGTCCCGCCAGGGAAGCGCTCTCCCCGGCTCGCCTACCTTCAGCGCCCACAGCTGCTGCTGCACCAGCCACACGCTCTCCTGGGTGTCCAGGTCGTCCACGGGGAAGGAGCCCACGTACTGCTTGGGGGTGGGGTGAGCGGGGAAGTCAGGCTCGTGGCTCCTGACCCCCACCCTCCAAATTCCCCCTCAGACACACACTCTGCTCTGTGGGGGGGCGGGGGGAGCTGTGGACAGCGCAGAGCACTGCACTCCGAGTCCGGGCTCTGCTACTTTCCCAGCCGGTGGCCTCGGCCTCACCTCTCCGCCCCCCGTGTCCCCATTTCCTCACCTGTGTGCGTGCACACATCCCAGAGCCTAGGGTTGGGAGGGAAGGCACAGAATAGGTCCTCCCCACAGCTCCTCCCCACCCCCAGGACCTGCTACCCAGTCCACACACACCGGTCCACAGAGCCCCCTGGCGGCGGGGGGGCAGCCGCACCCACCTGGGCAAACTTGGTGATGCACCTGGGCCGGTGAGGGGCAGGGCCGCAGTCCGAGGCCCTCCGGCCCCTCGCCCCAGCCTTCTGCATGGCCCCCAGCGTGCCCAGCATGAAGCCCCACGGGTGAGAAGGCTGCAGAGGGCAAGGGAGAAGGGCTGGTTTCCGGCAGTCGAGCCACGGTGCTCCCCTCAGACACCCGTGAGCTCCTTCAGCAGACAAACCCGTCCAGAGCCCTTGCTCAGACGGTGTGCCAGACAGTGTCCTAGGCACTGCGCACACAGGGCACACGGGGCCCTGAACAAAATGACAAACTCCCTCCTGCCCTCATGGAGCCAACATTCTCATGGGGGAGAAAGAAAGACATTAAATAAGTAAGACATGGGCCCTGGCTCGTGTGGCTCAGTGGACTGAGTGCCGGCCTGCGAACCAAAGGGTCGCCGGTTCAGTTCCCTGTCAGGGTTGCAGGCCAGGTCCCCAGTAGGAGGCGTGCAAGAGGCAACCACACATTGATGTTTCCCTCCCTCTCTTTCTCCCTCCTCTCTTCTGTCTCTAAAAATAAATGTAATCTTTAAAAAAACTAAGTAAGACACGGAACATGGTAGATGGTGATAAAGCAGACAGGAGGATGGGACATTCAGGCTGGGGGTGACTGCAGCTGGGAAGGCCTCCCCGAGGGCTGAGACCTGGGGAAACAGCTACGGGAACCCCGCCCCGGGGCAAACGCCGGCGCCTCTGTGCCTTGGGCTGGGCTGCCAGACCACCGGCAGGTACAAAGAGCTGGGAGCCAGGGAGTGGCGGGGCGGGGGGGGGGCGGGGGGCAGAGGGGGGCACAGCAGCAGCTGAGAGGAGAGAGGAAGGTGTGACAGCAGGGAGACCAGTCGGCAGAGGAGTGACAGCAGCTGGGGCCCTTCGGGAGACCTTTCCAGAGCAGCAGGCCAGAGCGACTGAGATCGGTCTTAAATGTTGAATTGGGGAGTTTAGTGGGGAGCCACAGCAGGTCCCAGGACAGGAGCTCTATGGCCTACGGGGGTAGCCCATGAGCTGGACGGCCAGAGCTGCTTCACAGGCCCCTGCCCGTGACCTTCAGCTCCAGGCTCAGGCCAGGGTGGAGGCACCAGCAGCATTCTGTGACTTTCGGGAGCAGCCCCCAAGGGAAGAGCGGGGAAACAGAGGCTGCGCCATCCCCTCGAAGCCTTCCCTGCTGCCTTCGGATCCCTCCCTCCCTCCGGCGCCCTCTCCTTCCCCACTCTTCTGGGCCCTCCAGTCCTTGTGCTGTTTGATCCTGATCATTTTCCACATCGTGTCCCCTACCCCTCATTCCTTCTGTTTGAATAAAGCAAACTTAGCCGTATAACTGGCACAATAGCTACCCGACCCCTGTTCCAGGTATGAGGGGGGGCTACCAGTCAACTTCCCTTTCTGAACTTCATAATCCCATCAAGGACTGGGATGCTCTGGACCCCAAGGTGATGGGGATCAGACGAGGCAAAGACCAAAAACCAAAGGGGGTGAAAGGGAGAGACAGAGAAAGAACAGAGGCTGAAAAGGCAGCTAGGGAACTGGAAACAGTGAGGAAACAATAAGGAAGATAAAAGAAGAAGGATAATGGAGAGGACAGACGGGAGGAGGGAGGGAGAGGTAAGGAGCACACTTCTCATTCTGCTGGTGCTGACACAGCCGCCCAGGCACTAAGAGTGTAAGACGGAAAGGAGCCACACAGGTTCTCTCTCTCTTTCTCTCTCTCTCTCTCACACACACACACACTCCCACATGCTACAAGACAGCTGTGTCTGGGGCTGTGAACAGCCTCTGACCTCCAGACCAAGAGCTGCAGCTTCCCAGGGACACCCTGAGTCTAGGCAGAGGGGGGTGACCCCACCCCACCCATTATCACCTAATCCTTCCTCATCCTCAGGAAACTGGAAATTTCTCCCTTCCTCTCCCTCACTCCCAAGCATGGGGGGCACTTCAGCTGCAGGCCTGGAGTTGGGGGCTGCCCAGGGGACTAGGGAGGGGCCAGGCTACCCCTGACCTATGTAACAGACCCGCATACCCATTCCAGCACAACCACCCACCTAGCTCCCTGGACCAGACCAGGTCTTCCGAGGTTCTGCAGGGGAACCTGGCTTGGCCAGCACCTCCCTAAAGGGACACATTTGGAATGAGGAGGGGCTCTTTTGCTCCTCTGAGATTTTCCAGGTGGCCCTGCTTACAGACAGGGGGCTGGCTGGGTTGACTTGCCTGACGGGTTCAAGAACAGAGGCCCCCACCGCACTGTGCCATAGCTGATTGGAGTCACAGGAAGGGCCCACCTTCCCTCCTGGCGTTCTGGGAGACTACTCAGCCTGCAGACGCTGGGTTTAGCAAAGGGGGAGCTCAGGGGAGTGAAGCCACTTGCCCAAAGTCACACAGCATAAGCGGGGAGCAAGCCTGGAAGCAAACCCTGGTCTCTGGGGCTCTTCCCCAAGCCCATGGAGGTGCCCTTCTCTCAGATGCCCCTCCCCAAGCAGGGTGTCCACCTTCAGAGTTTGGTGGGTCCAGCTCTCCAGCTGCTGGGACCTCGGGTGCTGGGAGGCTGCTCTGATCCACAAAACAGCAGCTTTGTCTCTCCGTCAGCCTCCCAGGCCAGATGGTCTGGGGCCGCCAGGGCCACCTCAGTGACTCGCTTCACCCTCACTGCCTTTGGCTCAGCTGCACAGCCAGCCCCCTGCCCTAACACACCCTCTGGTGCCACCCCCACCTACCTTAGGCCAGCAGGACAGAAAAGAAATCCACGCGGCCAAGGGCCAGGTGCCAAGCCCTAGGATTACGGGGTCGCACAAGGTTGGCTGAGGCGACCTTGGGGAAGTCACTGAATTTAGCAGCCTCCATTTCCTCAGCTGTAAATCGGGGCTAACTATAGCGGCTACCTCCCGGGGGGCATTTGTTTCTCGAGACTATTTGCTGGCGGGACTAAGTGGCAGCTGAACAAAACAAAGTCCCAGCCCTCGCGGAGCGCTCAAGCCGGCTTGGGGGACGGTGCCGAACCCCAACACCATTTTGGGGGAGGTAGGTAAATGATTTGCGAGAGAAGCAGTGTAGAGGGAGAAAGCTATGAGGTGTGTGTGTGTGTGCACGCGTGTGGCAGCGGGGAAGGGGGTGCTATCTAACCCGGGGTGGTCGAGGACGGCCTCTCCAAACACACGACCCCGAGCGGAACGTGCTGTTTTCAGGATTATGGGGGCGAAGCCACATACGAGCGCCTGGGCGGTGTGGAGTGCTCCGTGGCGTGGGCTGTTATTCCTACGATTGTTATGATTCCTGGGAAACGCTGCCAGGCTTTCTGCTGGCAACTGCCCGGCCCGGGGCAGGGAAACTCCCTGGACACGCCGAGGGGCAAGCGAGGCAGGACGATGGAGAAGGGACGGCGGAGGTGACAGTGGATGTGATGGATGGTGATGGAGGCAGGACAGAGGTGCTCTTGCCATCCGAGACCCTCCCCCCATCTCTGCATGTGAGGACCTGGCGCCGCGCCCGCCGATCCACCCACCCCAGCCCCTGCTTAGCTCCCCACCCCAGCCCCTACTTAGCTCCCCGGCTCCGGGGCGCTCACTCACCGCAACCTCCGACTGTCGAGTCCCGACGCTGGAGCTCAGTGCGTCTGGCCCAGCACCCCCACCCCTGCTGCCCCCCACGTGGCAGCGGGAACCAGCACCAGGCGGCACCTGGCGGTGGAGCCCGGCCCCCGCCCACCAATTGGAGCCTGAGGAGCGGCTCCGCTCCGCACCGCCGCCCAATCAGCGGGCGGGAGGGGTCCTAACACCACTCCTCCGACTCGCGTTCGGACGCTCCGCCTTAGGGGTCGGGGGTGAGGGGTGGGTCGGGGAGTGTTGGCCCAGCCTGTAGACAGCGTTCCCGCAAGGCTGGGGCCCCTCAGTGCCCGGAGCCTCGCTAACGGTTCCCTCCTCCCGAGAGTCCTTCCCCTCCCGCCCCCTGGCTGGCTCCTACTCGTCGTCCGCGCAGCTCCGGCAGTCTTCCTCTGGGAAGCCTTCCCTGACCACCAGTGACTGACTGCGCCCCCTGCAGAGCCCTGGAGACTTCTTGCTGCCCATCCCACTCTTCTACCTGGAGTGCCAGCGCCCCTGGTCAGGAGGGGACTCCGTCCCCTGGGGAAGGATGGAGCCTGGCTTACGGTAGGCTTGTCTTGACGAGCGAATGAATGAGGTCAGGATCTCCTGGCGGGAACCTGGCCAGTCTCACCCTTCCTTCCCTCACCCGGGGTGGGGTGGGGTGGGGTAGGGTGTCGCTCATCCTCTTCCACGCCCTCTGCCTCCGGGCCCTTCTTGGAGGAGGATTATCTGAGTTTGCTAAGCTCAGGGCCCGCACGGAGAAGTCTCCTCAAGAACATCGATCGTTGCGCTCGGGCTGTGACCCTCTCCTTTGGGTCCTACGGAAACCCACTTCGATGGGGAAAAGGCTGAGCAAAGTTAGCCAGAAGTGTAGATGGCAGCCTTGAGCTGGAGAGCACGTTTGTTCCATCAGGACAGGCACTTTGTAGGTGTAACCCCCCAGCCCTCCAAATTAGCAAACGGGATTCAGCCCAACCTTTGGTGTGTGTTTAACCTGAAACCCACAGAGAGGAACCACCAGCAGCTGCCCCTGCGTCACACCTCACAAGAGCCAGAACACGGGGGCTCAGGTCCAGTGGGGAGCAAAGGCTGCACCCAGCAGGTGCAGACGGGGGCACGGCAGGGAGAAACGTGGCCCGGGGCTGGTTCTGGAAGGAGGCAGGTTTGAGCTTCGCCAGAGTGCGGGCCATTCTCTTTGTCTCCCCAGAGCATTTGGGTGCCTTCCAGAGGCAGCAGGGAGGTTTAATGATGAGAGGCTTGGTCCCAAGTGTGGGCACTTCACCTGGGTAAATGTGGGACCTTAGGCGAACACCATAACCATTGTGATCCCCTTCGATCCCTGAGTACCTCATCTGTGTTACTAACGCCTGACTCACAGGGACAGACGGGAGGATTCCAGTGAGATAATGTGGGCCAAGTGCTTGGCACAGTACCTGGCCCATGGTTAGTGAAGCACTCGGTAAATATTAGCTGGTGTTAGACTTTGTGTTTATTCTTGAGTGCCTGTTGTATGTGCCCGAATGG